TTTTTTTTTTTCTTTTCTTCCGCGTATATATTTCGTACATACAAATTAACTTTTTGTTCTATTTATATACCTAATCAACATCTCAAAATGAGTTCTTGTTCCCATATGAGACGTATGGACTCCAACGCGGAGATTTCGGAAATGGAAAGAGTACGTCATGCTGAAATCAATTGACTTGGCTGCTAGAGTCGGTCACTTCTGTTCATTATAGAGTGCACTTTAATCTAATAACAGAGTCTAATTTGACCCCCCACCCCCCACCCCCATGCCGTCCACTGGGTAGTCATGCTATATTCATGTTGTCCAATGCGTGAATTCGCAGGAACATTGTCTTTGCGATTACAATAGAGTGTATATGTATATTGCTAGAAACAATTTCTTAGCTAAGTAGTGCTTAATAGTATTGAGTTATCAATCATAGTTAATTTGTCGAATTCCCTTAGGCATGAACCAAACAAAGATGCATAGGTATATATTGCTTTTGTTCCCCCAATGTTCTCTGCTCCATTGATATCTACTACTAAGTCGTACAAAATAGCTGCAATTAAACCTTCTTCGGTTTTGTTTTACTGACATATATGACGTGCACTAGCTTTATCTGAACTTAAAAGCCGCTAAGAAAAATACCGATTGAACTAAAATCACTTATTAAGCCCAATATATATATTAAGTAAAAGCTACAATCTTCTGCAAAATAAAATGTGCCACCTAGTATTTTGGAGGATCATCCTACCTCTCCCGCCGTAGGATATTTTCTCGCATGCATTTTACCAGCCAACCGCTTTACAGTGTAGAAAAGTAGCACATTATTTTTGCAGAAGATTGTAGATAACGAACGCGAGTGTCGGATGGGTTATAGAGCCCCGTGCAATGGACAGAAGGCCTTCTATCTAATGCGAGGGACTCATAACCCATAGGACACGAGCTTTCATTATCTAACCGTCTTAGAATATCAGTGGTAACACACTTTAGACTTTAGACTTTTATTTATTCACGCACTTATTTACAATGTTCAAATATATAGGAAAGAGATACAAATACACAACTGAATTAAAAGAAACCAATTAAATAATAACAATTCGTGTTTGGTTGTGCGTGGCTGTCGAAAGAAATATATTTTTTAAAGTTTCTTATTTTTGTTGTTCTTTATAATAAGAGAGTTGTCCTTTTATCCATGAAAACATTAAAAATATTTTATAGAGCACTGACTAAATACTGGACGCTGATTAACTGAATGGGTGTGACCATATTCTAATATTTGTCAGAGTAATGGACTAAAAGGAATCTTGCGTCGAGATCATTTACCTCTTGGAGACACACCAACATTCTTAATTCAATACAGTGAAGGTATGCGCATGCCTTTAACCCGTGGAATAAAAAAATTTAATAACATGTTACAGTAAAATAGCCGCCACAAGAGAAGAAACAATTGTTATATGTATGGCTTCATTTTTCGTTCCCCAATAACCAAGATAAGAATACAATGGAATCATGGTCTGGAACACAAGCTTACTGATGATCTGGGTGTGGTCGTACATTGGCTCAACAGAAATCTACTCACTATTAACACCTGAGTGCAAATTTAACATGTCTTTGGGAGTACAAGAAAATTGAACAATATTGGAACTGTCGATATTCATATAAATGAGTATACACACTAGATAGGACAGATACATTTAAATACTTACTGAGGAGTAATACTCAATCAAACTTTGACATGGAATGACCATTTCGATTTAAGTAATCAGTCAAAAAAGTCAACCAGAGAATTAGTTTGATAAAACGAGTTAAATATTTATTACCTTGTTCGGCACGTATAACATTATATAACAGTCTAGTTGCCCCATTGTTCGATTATGGAGACATTGTTTGGGGAGATCAAAAATAATGAAGTTTTAATGAGCTATTTACAAACTTTAAAGAATGAGGCTGCAAAAATAATCTTAAATAAACCAATACAAAGTTCAGCTACTGAAGCTTTAAGCATATTAGGTTTTAATACACTATCAAGACGACGAAAAATTAATCGTCTAGTTACTGTATACAAATGCATTAATGGTGATATTGATTTTAATTTATTAAATAATGCATACGCTTATTTCAATAAAGTTAGTCACCTGAAAAGCTATAAAGCTGAGACCGACAAGGATTATGGGTAGATTCATTTTACACGTTCAACCGCTTGATAACTGTTCATGGACTTGCGAATCTTTTACCGGTTACAGTCTCACCTCTTCTGAGCATCATCGAGCTGCAGTTTGTATTAAAAAAGCTTTGTATATTTATGCTTTTTTGATATGAAAAATTTCCCATGATACTCAGGGATCTCAGCTTTCTAGGTTTTTTGTGACAAACTTTATTGAAATAAGTGTACAGTGCACTGTATAACAATAGTCATCTTCATTCTTATAACACTAGAACCAAAGATAACGTTTAAACTTAGATTATAAGAAAATGACTTTTTAGATCACTCTTTTATATTTTATAATTTTACATTTTTCTTATCGTATTTAATTTATCTTTTTATGCATATTTTTGT